TCTCTCTCTCCCTCCTTCCCTCTCTCTCTCCCTCCTTCCCTCTCTCTCTCTCCCTCCTTCCCTCTCTCTCTCCCTCCTTCCCTCTCTCTCTCTCCCTCCTCCCCTCTACTACACACACACCTGCTTGTTGAATCCATGTTTCTCTTCCACGACGAACGTACAATACAGGCTCCACGGCATTGACGATATCGTCGAATAAACCGACAACAGCAGCAGGAACGCCATCGACTGCGTGATCTGAAACCGAGATCAATCGATAATCAATCGATCGATACATCAATGGTTATATCTGATCTATTTTAATAAATATAAGACGTAAGGTCGTAAAATATCGTAATATCGTAAAATATAAGATGTAAAAAAATTATTGTGTGTAATTATATAATATATTTATTCATCAAATATTGACGATATCTACCTGATAAAAAATATCTACCTGATAAATAACCAATTTAACTAATGTTAACGAAATCGATCAATTAATTAATCGATTAATCGAATTAATCAAACCTCGTCCTCTTGCGTGTACCCCCACCGACCAATCACGTCACCCGCCGCGTTCCATAGAAACGGGATGCCGCCTAGCAACAGGATCGCCTGCAAGAGAATGCACAACATCACCACGGCAACCGTAGGGCGTGCTGGGGCGCGATTGGCGCACCGCGCTAATTTACGATTTTCTTTTACGAATGTCTAAATTCTCGTAAAGAGAAGATGTGTCAAAACGAGAAAAGATGCATCATGACGAAGTAGCGATTATAGTGAGAAGAGAGTAGAAGAGAAGATCGCATGCCGCCGTGATGTCACCGCGACAACCGTACTGTCGTCATGGCGACTGCGATGTCGTCGCAGCAACCTCACTGTCGTCACAGCAACCGCACTGCCGTCACGGTAACATCACTGTCGTCACAACAACCACGCTGTCATGGTGGTGACCGCACCATCGTCACGACGACTGCGCTGTCGTCGTGGCAACCCCCCCCCCCCGCCCACGTCCCCGTACGTACGGACGTTTCCAGCTGGGAATAGAGACTCGACCAGAAGCCAAAGCTGCTCTTGTCGAGGTTGTACAATCTCGCTTTCTCAAACGTCTCGCGACTGAGCATGCCCGCGAGTTCGTGCGGCACCGTAGAGCTGGTCCTGTATACCTTCCTCTGTGTGGGAGAGAGATAGACATCAGATACAACTAGTGAGCGGGTTAAGGTTAGGGTTAGGGTTGGGGTTAGGGTTAGGGGCACAGCAGAGCTGGTACGATAGACCTTCCTGTGTGGGTGAGAGAGATATCGCAATTTTACGTATAAGACGTAATATACGTACGTATAGACATTGCAACATTACTTTCCCAAAATGTAGGGGGTAGTCTATATCATAATCTACAAGAACCAGTCAGATATCAATCTACAAGGGTCTTCTTCTGCGTCCTATTATTCTATAATTCTATTAATTGTAGGGCTGAAGGATACAAGAGCTGTCCACATTTGCACATGTCGCACATTGTAAAAATGAATTGTGGCCAGCGCTTATATCCATGAACCAATTCAAGTCAAGGCAATTGCAGTCTCTAGAGTTAGTCGCTTCTGCTTCTGTTTCTGTTGTAGTACGTTGCAGTATCCAACTTTGGCATCGAGGCAACGGAATCAGGAGAGAGGGCTAATTATTTTAGAATTGATGTTGGCTGAGCATAGATGTAAATTGCTCAGCACTGTCGGCAGTTACTATGTGGTCACCCAGGTGGTTCCACTGTATCACTGTGCGGACAAAGAAGGAATTATTGTACTGTCTGTACTGCCTACTGCCGCTGAGAGGGTCTATGTCCCCCAGGGTACTGCCGGAACGTACCCTGGTACTATCTAATAAGGCTGAGAGGGTCTATGTCCCCCGGGGTACTGCCGGAACGTACCCTGGTACTATCTAATATGCCGGACCGTACCTCGCCTACTCCACTAACGAGTCTAGGGAGTCGCCTACGCCTACTCAGTACTCCCTAACCCGAACCCAAACCCTAACCCTAACCCTATGCG